TGGTTCAAGCCCACCACTTGCCTCTCCCGAGAATGCGGTGCATGGAGTATCTTCGTACTTACCTGCAGATGGTACAATGGGCTATGCCGAAAGCGAAAGTATTGGGGAACAATATCGCATGCGGCAGAGTTTGTTTGGGTCTGTCGACTACCAGCAGTCCTACAGTTCATACCCTGGAACTTCTTTTCCCACAACTGCAAATATGCAACCCATCAACCAACAGACTTACCAACCAATTGCATCACTGAAGCAACCGGTTTTACCCACAGCCATGCATGATCTACAACTAAACAGCTCAGGTTTAACAAGACTGGGTGCCTATCAATCCATGTACCCAAAACCGAGCAGCGTTCCCGTACCCCTGAACAGAGATGAGAGGCGAGCCCGCACTCTCAAAATCCCATTCTCGCTGGACAAGATTGTGAACCTACCAGTGGATGACTTCAATGAGCTCTTGACCCAGTTCACACTGAACGACGCTCAGCTGGCACTCGTGAGGGACATTCGCAGACGAGGAAAGAACAAAGTTGCAGCTCAGAACTGCCGCAAGCGCAAGTTGGAAAATATTGTGCATTTAGAAAACGAGTTGGGACAGCTTAGAGCCCAAAGAGAACATTTAACCAGAGAGAGACTGGGGTTTCAGCAAAACCTAGCCATTATCAAATGTCGGCTCTCAGATCTTTACACCCAAGTGTTTTCACAGCTACGTGATGAGGAGGGACACCCTTATTCAGTTGACGAGTATTCACTACAACAAACTAATGATGGCAACATTTACTTGGTGCCACGAAACACAGCACTGGAGAGTGAATTAACTGATGTTTGTTTTGAGAAGTGGAAGTCACCCATAGTTGGACAACTGAACCCTTGAGGTTCCCAATTACTTAATCACTCGTCATGAACAGAAAAGACTTAATTTCTTACAATATCACTCATAGTAATTTTTAGAACTACAGAAATTATGAAGAGCTTTTAAGATTAAGACGCTTCCAAACTTTTATGGACTATGCTGCAAGTGATGTTAAACACTTGTACATTGAAACATTGGTCTAAAACCTACAATCAGTATTGTCCAACATACAAACATGCTTTAGGTAAATGGGTTCTACACAAGACAACCAAATCATTTGTAGCATTAAAAGTTTTATTGGTAAAAAAAAAGGGTAATAAAAATAAAATCTCTTCAGCTGCATTTTGGTCCTAGAAAAGAGAACAAGTTAGAGGTTTAGAATATTGTAAACAAGATAAAAACACTGCATTACAATAGCAAGTACCTTTTCTCATTTCACCAGTTTAGACAGACAAATGTCTTTTCATTTCAAGATGATTTTTCCCCTCATCAGATCCTGAAAAAGCAAGAGTAATATGGTCAGCATGTTAAATATAGAACATGAAAAACCACAAGTGGGCATGCATTAAAAAGGGTTTAAGGTCTATAAAATCTTGTGCACCAAACTATGCTGACTGCAGTTACTTCCCCTGTAATATACACAACACTGAATGGGAAGTTCACATTAACTGTACAGCTTCTGCTAATAAAATGTTTGTTACCAGCAGTAGTGGAGAAGTCTGTTCTTACCTACAGGAGTTATAAAAGCGCTGCCTGCTAGTCTTTGAGTGGCGCCCTGTACTCCCTGCTCTGCTTCTTCACAGGGCGATGATCTTGCTACTCCTTTCTCAGCCTGCTCCCATGGCTAGACTGATATGAAACCAGACTACTCTAGGTATTTGCATTAAACAGCCTATGCTTTAACCAATTTTGACCGTTTCCACTTACGTTCCCTTAAGAGAACGGGCTTTTTTATTTTTTTAATAAATGAGCCAAACAACAGTCTTGTTTACTTTATACTATAAAGGCTCATAGAAGCTCCCCATTAAAAAATAAAAATAAGTGTACTACACTAAAACCCCCAGAAAACAAATGACTAAAACACACATCTTTTTTTAAAAAACAAAAAGGATGTTTTATTTCACCTTGATTGGTTACATAAATCAAAACCATAAAGACTGAAAGTAGTTCTACATAAAACCTCATTGGAATGCTTTTTTCCATAGACAATATAAAATAAGTCTGCATGATGACAAATTCATGATGTCCCACACATGATAGCACTACTGTACACTTCTTCTGGTGGCAGCTGTAAATCTGCCAAACCTGTTTGGCTGAGCAGATCTAGGGATGTAAACCTGCATCTGCCCTGTCACTTCTCTCGCTCTCCTCTCCTAAAGCACTCAGTCCTGTTGAACAATATGAACAACAAATGTTAAGCTGCACACTACCTGAGGTTTGTTGTTTCTACACCAGATGTACAGCAAGGTTACAGTATAGCAATGAGTATTCAGTCCAAGACTAACGTATTGGGATTGTTAACCTGTAAACCTGCAAGTCTATTTATGGTCAAAAGAATTTGAAACCAACCTTTCTGAGCTTAAAACCGTCTTCCACCAGAGCTGCCTCCATATCCACCACCAGATCCACCGCCATAGCCACCTAAAAACAGATATGTCATTTAGGATTCAAGTTGTTTATACAAGGAGACTTAAACCAAAAGGGAAGCATAATAGGCCATTATGAACAACTCACCACCATATGGTCCACTGTTTCTTCCTCCACCACCTCCAAAGTTCCCTTTCATGGGACCATAGTTGGACTGCTGGTTGTTATAGCTGCCAAAATCACTGTAGTTACCACCTCCGCTGCTGCCACCGCCACCTCCAAAGTTGCCTATTCACATTTAAAAACCACATACACCTGGTTACTGCTGACAGTTCAAGTAATTTGTATGGAAGTTCAGAATTCAGACTGGTATCTACTCACCACCTCCAAAGTTTCCATTGCCATTGTTGTAATTGTCATTATAGCCGCCGCTGCTGTTGCCGCCACCACCACTACTACTACTACTACCATAACCGCCACCCTGGTTGCCATAACCATGTCCTCCTCCGCCGCCACCACCACCATATCCACGGTTTCCACCATAGTTACCAGGGCTGCCACCATAATTACCTGGAGAAAGCAACAGGAATAAGTTAGTTTAACAACCAATCAAAACATTTTACTAAACCGTACTTTCAAAGAACCAAGAAACCACTACATACCATCTCCGCCACCAAAGCCGTTGTTGTAGCAGTCGCCTCCATAACCGCTGCCGCCACCACCACCTCTGCCTCCTGAAAAGGGTTGTGAAAATTGCTTTAAGTCCATACAAACAATTAAATCAAATCATTTAAAACTTCAACGTTCAGTTTGGCATGTACCTCTTCCAAAATAGCTATCGCGGTTGCCGCTGCCACCGCCGCCTCCGAAGTCATTGTTGTAGCCGCCATTGTTGCCATATCTGTTGAAGTTTCCACCTCCACCTCCTCCACCACGGCCTATAGATTTCATTTTAAGGGATCCATTTAATACACCCAAGTACATTAAAACAGGGGGAAAAAAAAATATAAACACCTTGAACACCAAAATACCTCTCATGTTCATGCCAGTGTTTTGCATCTCTTGTTTAGACAGAGCTTTTCTGACTTCACAGTTGTGCCCATTCACAGTGTGGTATTTTTGAACTAAGGAGAGGGAAGATATCGATGTTATCATTTAGAATAAAAAAAAAAGACAAACAATATTAAGACTTAAACTACACTTGAACAGAAGCACTTACTGACGATACGATCAACGGCGTCATGGTCATCGAACGTAACAAAGGCAAAGCCTCTTTTGTTTCCGGTCTTGTGGTCAACCATTATCTCAATGGCCTCAATTTTGCCAAACGGTATGAAGTAATCACGAAGATGGTCCTCCTCAGTGTCATCTTTAATGCCACCCACAAAGATCTTCTTCACAGTTGTGTGAGCAAATGGCTTGTTGGAGTCCTAAAACCGATATGCAATGAGGCATTTGCATTCATACACATATTTAGAAGTGGTTACATTACAAAGGCTTGGGGTGTTAAAACGCACCTCTCGAGACACGGCTCGTTTGGGCTCCACGAGCCTACCATCGACCTTGTGGGGCCGTGCTTCCATAGAGGCATCGACTTCGAACACGTTGGAATAAGTGACAAACCCAAAGCCCCTGGAGCGTTTGGTGTTTGGATCTTTCATCACCTACAACAGCACATAAACAAGCATAATAAGGGTTAAAGCACCTATTGGTCATCACCATACCCTTAAACCACAATAATTGGTGTTAGATTATGCAAAGATACGATCCATATTGTATATCGCTGCAGAGAAGCAAGATAGAAGGAACTTACCACACAATCCGTTAAGGTGCCCCATTGTTCAAAATGCGCCCGCAAACTATCGTCTGTGGTTTCAAAGCTGAGCCCTCCAATGAAGAGCTTCCGCAGCTGCTCTGGCTCACGTGGTTGGCCCTGCAAAGAACACATAATAACTTAACACTGAAACAGAGTGCGTAGTGTGTATTATTCTGCAGCAAATATTAAACTAACAATTTATTCATGCACAAAGCGTCATTAATCCTTGAGGTAACAGACTCCATTTGGTGGGAGGTGATCGAAAAACCTCCGCCATGTTGGTGCCGCACAACACGGCATATCTATAAACAGTACCTTTGTGTCAGTAAAACAATATAGATTCAAAATTGATCACAGATATGGCCGGTGAAGAATTAAAACAAAGAAACTACGATTTTTCGAGAACACGACCTTCAATGCAAACACGCGGCCTATGTATAGTATAAGAGTTAAAATGGCGGCCGAATACGCTATTTGCATTATCAAAAGAGCCACGAATGAGATCCGCGTTAAATCGCTCCGAACATGAAAACTACATTGCTTAAACCGTTTCTCACAAAAGCAAAACTAGCTGCATTGTTAAAGCCAACCTACCTCTTTGGACATCCTACCGACTATTTCTGCCCGTGCTGCGCCACACGCTTCCCGATGAGACGAGCACTAAGAACTGGGGAGATACCATAAATAGCTTGGGCAAATACAGTCCCCTCCCACTGCAGACGATGATTGGTTTACGCTTCCCGCTAACGGGTTTGTTTTGCGTTTTGACGATACCTGATTGGCTGAGACTCAAGTCAATCCCTGGAACAGAGGTTAGTGCGTTTACAAATCTTTCTTTCTCATACGTTTAAAAAAAACAAAACGCTTTTTTTTTTTTTTTTTTTGCAAAAACTATTAAAAAACGTATTCAAATATATGAGGGGATTGATAATTTACAAGTTATATTTTATTCACACAGCTTCCATATAACCTCCATCCCTTGTTCAAAGGCACTCATTCGTCTTATATGGAAATATGTGTTTTTGAAAAAGGTGTGATTAAATATGGATATTTTTTTTTAAATACCAGAAACATTCAGCAAAGTCTGTGGTTTTAGTTGCCGTGTGACGCGTGCGCATCCCATTGTTTGCGTGAGGCCGTTTTTGGCGCGAGAGCGGTTCGCTCAGGCGCACGCTGATTGGCTGGACGCGCCACTGGACGGATGCATGCGCGAAAGGCAGAAACTCCTGTGTGCAGGGAAAAAGCCGCGGCCGCCTCAGCCTCATTATCCAACGCGAATAAGAAAACATCGATAATATCTCAGTAAGTATACAATAGTTATCCAAATTAGCGTCAGGATATACAATTGTATGTTTTCCTTGTGTTGGAAATGATTTAATCCGCCAGTGTGTGTTACGCTTTAACCTGATAGGTTCAGGTGAAATCTGTTCTGCTCGGCCCGCGCTGTTGCTAAGCAAAGCCTCACTAGAGAGCACGACGATAATATTCAAATAAAGGCGAAAAAGCACACGGATGCTTTGCTTGTAGCGGTTAGATGCAGAGAACCGAAGAAAGAAGTGGAGCGTGTAAGCTAATTGAGCTACATTAGCCTGGTATCATGCGCCTGGGTATCGGTGAGCCTTGTTTATTGTTTTTGCAGGCATTGGCTAAGTTAGTTGAGCTTGCGTTCTACACAAACACAACACCGGCAAACGCATGAAATTATGCTCTCATTGTATTTCTCTCTCTCTCTCTCTCTCTCTCTCTCTCTCTCTCTCAGTGTTTTGGTACTGTTGCTATTTCGAAATGTGCTTCTAGCGAGGCAAACAGTAGCAATCAATGGGACTTCTGTAGCTACATGTTAGCAGTGCACCTAGCACTGCATTTAAATCTGTTTACGATGTGAATTATGTTTCGTATTTATGAATAAATGCATTGGGAATTAGGTCGCATATGCCATGCAACGTGAGAGTCGTGCAGGGCTGTTCAATGTTTTCACATTGTTTGGCCTTGCTCGCTAAAATCCTTCAAGACAGTAAGATAAGAACACATGGCTGGTTTATCGCATTTCTAGTGCAAGGTTGATTAAATATGTATTTTAGTAAATGAATATAGGAATCGCATCCCAATATAACTGCTTGATTTTAATGTAATGTATACAGACTGCGTGCATTGTTTTTCCTTTAGCTTTGATTACAGTATGCGCGCAATGTTTACTAACAAACCATTTTTAAAAGTTTGTTTATTTTGCTATTATTATTATTATGCATATAGGCTTGAAAATCATTTTACAGCTCCTCAAATCAAAGGCATGCTGGTCTTTAGTGTGTCCATTTCTAAGAGTCCTCTACAATTATTTATTAGAGCGTTGAATGCGTTTCTCCTTATGCATGTTTATTGATATACATTTTGGTTATGTGTAAGTGCAGTAATGTTTAAGTGAGTTGTATTTGTTTAGGGGAGCTCTGAATGCTGTAATCCACAAATCATCTCTGCACTTTAAAAGGTCACGTCCTCCAATAGAATACTGTAGGTGAGTGTCTAAAAATAAATATTGATTTTTAAGGTAAGAAAGATTTAGCCTTAAGTCCTGAGATTTAGCTCATACTGTCCAACTTTTGTTGTTATGTTAAGAGTAACTTCCGTTCAGGATATGGTTATTTTAGCTGGAAATAGAATTTTCACAATGTAGACAATATGTAGTCCATATTAATGCCATACAATATACCTAGACCAGTGAAATTTCATGATATACAGTGCCACAGCAGAAACTACTGCTAGCTAATTTCTTAAGTAAACATTGTCCTTTGTCTTCAGGCAATTATTAAAGTAAACAGTGAGTAATTTAAATTTAATTAAAGAGACAAATTACAAGACAATAGAAGTAAACTCCTTTTCTGCATTCTTAACAGCACTATCATCATATATCACTAGTAGAAGTTAGAGAATGTAAAATAAAACTCTAGCATAGACTTTGCTGTATGAATTAGAGGTAGTAAATTAACACTTTCTCAAGTTATTATTATCAGTAGTATTGGTTGATTAATATTAATTACATAACTGACAGCAATAGATTTATTAGACGTTTACACTGCAAGACCTAATGCACAGATCTATTTTGACATCAGATGTTTGTTTATATTTAAGTTATATTTGAAATGAATATGCATCTGAACAGTCAAATACACTCCTCTTTTTGTATGGTAACGGACTGCTCTATTTCTAACTTTAATAGCACTTTTTTTTTCAGTGGGAACACTTTCCTCCCCGGACCAGGGAGCCACACAGGTCACACTTGCTCATAGGAAAGACATTCAGAATAAGCCATGGCAAAGAAGAACCAGAACCGTGAAGATGATGAGGCTGCTTCCTCAGATGAGGAAGAGTATGTAGTGGAGAAGGTCATGGACAGGCGAGTTGTGAAGGGCCGTGTGGAATATTTCCTGAAGTGGAAAGGCTTTTCAGAGTAAGTCTTCATTGTACTTCATAATAAGAAGTAGTATAGACTGTTTCATCTCAAGAAGAGATGTGTTACTGCATGTAAAAGTCTCAAAATGCATGACTATGGAAAAACATCAGTAGTTTTTACATTGAGATTAGTGGACAAGTCTAATAAAAAATAAAATAAAACTAGTTTGAAGAACACTCATAGTTTTGTCATAGTATGTAAACGTCCTAAAGGTGTATCTATGATATGAGGAAATCCAGTGGCTTTAGGTTATCATGCATGAATCATGCATTGTTTTGCAGCAAACACAACACATGGGAACCAGAGAAGAACCTGGACTGTCCAGAGCTTATCTCAGAGTTCATGAAGACCTATAAAAAGGGAAGCAGCGGAAGCACACCCAGCAGCAAGCCCTCCAGCACAGGCTCTTCTTTGGCCCGTCCCAAAGACAGTAGTAGCAGCAGCAGCAAGAGGAAAAACTCAGAGGAAGAGAACGGGAGCGGCAGCAAACCCAAAAAGAAAAAGGAGGTAAGAGCTTAACGAAAAAGGGTTTAAGAGCCCCCACTTAAACTTCATTAAAATGTAATTACCATGCAATATCCATGCTGATATTGCAAGTACATCCAGAGGGTTGAAATTCTCTCTAAAATATGTTTCTTACCTCATTACTTGCTTTAAGGAATAGTTCCACCAAAAATGAAAATTTGCTGAAAATGTACTCACCCTCAGGCCATCCAAGATGTAGATGATTGTCTTTTCATTGAGAGAGGTTTTTGGAGAGATTTAGCATTACATCACTTGCTCACCAATGGATCCTCTGCAGAGGATGGGTGCCATCAGAATTATTTTGCGTTATGGATTCGTATTTTGGACAGAAGCAAAGGTTTACAGTTAAGTTCCTTTATGATGGATTGGTTTGTTATAAACAACAATTTTTGATTGTCGTCTTTGTTCTTTCTAGGATGAGATCCTTGTAGCGAGAGGTTTTGAGCGAGGCCTGGAGCCTGAGAAGATTATTGGGGCAACAGACTCCTGTGGAGACCTTATGTTCCTTATGAAGTGGTGAGTAAAACAGCTCTTTACATATCGGGAGTAAAATGTATTCAATTTATTTGAATGAATCTCTCATTAGAAACACATCTGAACCAAAGCCACAAGTCTGACCATATTCTAGTTAAAATAATAGTGGACGTTGAATTTTAATTTAAATCCCATCACAAGTGGTTACAGGAGATGCACGTTGATACCAGGAGTAATCAGGGAAGTGTCTCAACTGACCAATTGTGATTGGATCACCCGAGATGGGTGTTATGACAAAAGTGTCAATGGCCACATTTACACCTGGCATTATGTTTGAAATGATGCAAACTGATCCATTCTTGTTTCTTTGTCAACTTTGCTCACATCCACACTCCTGCCCTGTGTGAGACTGTACAACCATTATTCTTTTGTCACCATTCTATACCTATTTACACCTGTACATTTGAACCCTTCATTGTAGTCTCCACTCTGCATTTATTTGTTTTTGTCTGTTTTACAGTTTCTGTATTTCTCATCTTGTGTTATTTACATAAAAATATAATTGCAGTTCCTGACTGGTACAGGGTATGTTTAGCTTGGCATACATAAAAATGTGCACTTTGACAGACAGACTATGGAAATTACAAACCTTAAACATGTTCGTTTTATGATTCTTTTCATGTTTGTATTTACTTCTTAGAAAGTGGCATAAAATGCATTGTTTATTTCAGGTGCAGCCTTTTGTATTGTATAGCATGTTTAGCACTATAAACCACATAATCCTAATTGTCTTTTGCCTAAATGTTCCATTGGTCAAACGTTACTAGTTTTACAGTGGCATAATACAATAAAATAAACCATAATTAATCAGCATAGCTACATTAAAAAAAAAACGTTCAGGGTTCACAGATTTGACAAATTTAGACCGTACTATTGCGGAAACGTTTTCTAATATAAAGCTGTAATCAAATATGCATAGCTCCTTAGGGTTGAATATATTTTTCAGGGTTTTCATTGGTCCTTAATCTTAGGCTGCGTTTACACTTGGCATTAACATGCGACCTGTATTCTTTATTTTTGGTATGGTTTTTGTTATATTACAAAAGGACAATCCCTTTCATGATCATTTATACACATGACTAGCAGTTGTTTTTAAAATGTGTAACAATAGTTGTATTTTGCTATGTTAAGTGCATAGCCTTTTTTAATATCCTGTACCATATTGTAGTAAATCTAGTTTTCAACACTTAACAGTTGAAGATTTCTGGAAACCCTAAACCTTGGCTTTCTGACTCAAGTCAAACAAAATCAATTTCATTGTAGTGCTGAGATTATGAAGTTTCACTATATGCAATGTTTGTGAAAAAACACAATTTCAAAACATTTATTTGAACAAATCAGATATGCACCTTCTCATTTAGTGCAGTGTTAAGTTTAACCTGAAAAGCAGTGCTGATGTGTACCAGCAGATGTCATAATGGAGCAAGTCTTTTCTGCTTTGTTTCTACTTACCAAAAAATGTACACAATAGGTTGCATAGGGGTTCTGAATACAGTAAAAAAAATTAGGGATTCCTGGGTGTATTTGTACTTTTCATTCTTATTTAAAGTAAACTATTTGGCCTATAGATGCATTATATTCATTGATATTTGAGCACTGATATTGCACAACTTATTTCTCTTGATGCAGGCTAATTTGACTCGTTTCATGCAATTTCCCATGCAGAACATTTGTATGAGTGCCATACATTGTTTCCATAGTCCACTCATTCTCAGTTTCACAGATATTCAATATCGCAGTCATATCTAACGGATTACGACAATAGCCTAGCCCTGCAGATTTGCTTTTGCCTCATTATATAGACTTCCAGTTCACTGTTTTCCATTTGAGACATTTGGCCTATTGTGAATGTTGCTTGTAGCCCCTTCATGGCCTCAGCTCTGCACAGTCCAGAGTCGCAGTCCAGGTGGCGTCTGAGCCGTAACCCCTCCCTGTAATACTGTTTTCTCGACTACCTCAGTGGCAGTGGAATTTTCCAAAGGGGGAAGCGGTTCAGCTCTGAAGTGGAATGCAGAGGTCACTAGTAAATTTTCAGCCCCGGGGAGCAGAAGTCTCAGCAGATAGCTGAGAGGCTGCATTTATGCTTTATGGAACGCTGGAGAGCTGTCACACTCGCTCTGCTCCACCAGGACTCGAGGAATGTAGATGGAGAATAGAGCATGTGAAGTCACATTTGAAAACACGAGCAAAATGACTGTTGATATGAATTAGGATTAGTGTGTTAAATGAATAGTTTGGCCAAAACCTTCCTAAATGAAAGATTCTTAATAGGCATCAATAATTCCATGAAGAACCTTTAACATCCATATAAAAGTGGGATTTTGCAGTGATGCCATAGAATAATTTTTGGTTCCCCAAAGAACCTTTCAGTGATCAGTTCTTAAAAGAACCATTATATTCTTAGTGTGAAGAACATGTTATTATTCTTAAGAAGCTTTTTCCACTCTAGAACCTTTTGTCCAATGGAAGGATTCCATAGATGTTTAAGGTTCTTCATGGAACCAATTAAAAAAAACATTATTTTTAAGAGCATGGAAACTTTCCATTGCACAAAAGGTTCTTTAAAGTGGAGAAATGATCTTCAGATTATTAAAATGTCCTTCACACTAAGAAAACAACAGATTCTTTTTTTGGCAATAATGGTTCCGTGTAGAACCTTTAATGTCCGTAGAACCTTTCTAATCCACAAAAAGTTCTTTAGAGTATTAGAATGTCCTTTACACTAAGAAAAAGTGGTCCTTTTAAGAACTGTTCACTGAAAATTTCTATGGGGAACCAAAAAAGGTGGTTCTATATTAAAACTGATAGTTCTTTATTGGCATGAAGAACCATTCATGGATCCTTTCCAATGCACAAAAGGTTCTTTAGATTTTTAAAATGTTCTTATACACACACACATGCACACACAAAATTGTTCTTTTTAAATGGTTATGGCATTGCTGTGAAAAAAACCTTTTAGAACATTTGTTTTTAAGAGTGTTTGGCTTTCTTTCTGTATTTATTTCTTCAAAATAACTTTTTGTTTCACCAAAGAAAGTCATACAAGTTTGGAATGACGCAAGGGTGTGTAAATGATCACAGAATTTGAACTTTGGGACAAACTACTCGTAATCACCATGGTGAAACCCACAATGTTGAGCTATGAGAAGAACTTTGGGGTTTGCCTTTCCTGAGCGATGTTTTTACCAATAAGCAAAGAGTGCACGCTTTGAATATGTTTGCTGAGGCAAAAAAAAAAAGTAATCGAGCGGCGAATAGAGTCTGTGTGCATGATTTCTGGGATGCATGTGGTCCGATGGGTTTTTGCTGCGCATAAGCTCTAATAGATGGCTGTCAAGGGGACCACTGAACAGCTGTGGTCGAGGGCTGGAGTTTGGGAGGGGAAGACTGCAGTAGTGTGTTCGATCCACTGCAGCACCGTCCAAACCGCCGGAACGCACACACAAAGTGCACTGGAGCGCCGTCGCTTCCTTATCGGCGTCCTGTAGGCCTCATAAGCGCGATATGCGACGGTTTCCGAATCCCCTTCCGAACCTAAAAAGCCTAAACGCACACGCAAGCGCGATTACACCATGATTCTGCTGAATTTTAGTGCGCGATTATGTGCGCCGTCATTAAGAACGCAAGGTCACGTCGTTAGCAGTGACCTTTGGAGACGCTTATCGGCCCTCTATTGGGCTGTTGTTCGAATCGTGATGCGTAATGCCGCAGCGATGCTCTTTGCGTTTAATGTGCAGCAAAGCATCGAGAAACAAAGCCCAGCCTCTCCCAGAAGCCCCCACCGTGCAGCGAGCAGTCTAGCGTTACTCCAGTCCTCCTCCACCCCCATCTCTTCTCCTAGCCGGGGGAGTGAGAGAATTATGGCTGCCATAAAAAGCAGATAATGCATTGTTAACTAATTCTGTCTGCTCAGAGCTGATGTATCCACTGCTCTAAATCTCAATGCCTCCAATAAAATGCAAATGCTAATGCTCGCCCTCCACCAGCTGATATCATTTTTAACAGGCCGGAGGTAAAAGCTGAGATAGGGTGGGGCAGGGGCCGACAGACAGTGCGAGCTTTGCTATCCGGAGATGCTCGGCAGGAGGAAGAAGATGCAGCGTGGCGAGAAAGCCTATTAGAGCTGCGTTTAGTAGCAAAGCTCTCTATGAAAGGCCCATTCTGGTGCTGGAGCTTTTGGAGGCAGGGAGCTGAATGAGCGCAGAGTAAATGTCAGTGTGGATTGCTCTATGAACTGATTCATGGGCTTTTTTGAAATTAGCTTTGAGCAAATCATTACATTACTTTGTATGTATTATTTACAGCGCGCTGCACGACGAGTTTCGCTGTTGAAATATTACATCCCTTAAGGACATTCTAATTATAAAAATCTGGGCATCTAAATCATAAATATGAATTTTAATACTTTCATTAAGATTTGTGGTACATTTGGGTATGATCGGCTTGTGACCAGTGTTTAATGTTATAAATTGCATTTATTATATATACATATAAATATATTTATATTAAGTATATTATAAATATATAATAAAATATACTTATATTGTGAAAAATTATTATTACTACTATTAGCATTTAATATATATAATATATTTAATGATCCAATTGATGTAATTGACATTTTTGTCTGGTTATGCTTATATATATATATATATATATAT